CATCAAGCAATTCCAGTGACTTCCAAAAGTTTTTGGCCAGGCTGCGGTAGGAGGGGTCTGAGCCACCTTGGCTGATGTGCTCATGTCACATTTGAACGATAATCTGGGTCTTGGCAGAATGCCTGTGACACTCCCAGGCCACCAGAGGAAAGACAGCATATCAAGAGCTTCTAGAAGGCCAGCTTTAACTCCCTCTCCACCTTCACTGGTCAGCATGAGACCCTTTCTATCCTAGATTCTGATGAGTTCTGAAGCTTTTATAACTTCACACACAGAAAAAAAAGCTTCAAAACAAGAGGCCACTGAGTTGCCTTCTAGAATTAACTGGAACCTGCTGCTCACGCTGTCATTGTGGCTCCTGTTGTTTCAGACTTTTCCTTTTGTGTGTTGGCACAAAGGCCGCTGTAAGATGGTACCTTTGACTAATCTTTTTTTCCTCCATGTAACAAACTCTGAATCTAAAAGTGACTCCTTGTTTTACTAGTACAATCAGTCAGGCATTGGCCTGGTCTTGTCTTGTGTATGTGACGATTTGAACTAAAGAAATTCATGTTGCATCATTGAAACAGGACGACAGCCTTCTTCTCAGCATGAAATTAATGAAGGTGTTGGTCCTGCTTCATGAGTCCTTGTTTTCCTGACCTTGGAACCAATCCTCTGCCCAAAATGCACACACCCGCACACACACTCACACATTATATGCATGACACAGCCCCTGAGTGTTCCCTGTCATCTGAGTTCTTATCCTTCCATTTAAGTGCATTATTTTATCTAGATATATGGATCTGTCAAGCGTTACTTTTCCCAGGGAATTGAAATAGTGTTTTTGAAATACAAGTCTTGCAGCAGAGTCTCAATGTTAATGTCAAACATCTCCAGGGCTGACCATTCAACTGGAAGCGGCACCTCTCATCACCTGTGAGACTATGATTTCTGGCCTCAGTTAACGCAATTCTATTGTTTCCACTACTATATTCTCATGCATAGAATATTACTAGGTAGAGTGTAGGTTCTCCATTGTAATTCATGATTGAATAAAAGAAATAATAGAATAGTATGGCATAAACTAGCATAGAATAGGGCAGTATACCTGAAAAGCTAAAAACTAACTTGTATTTTAGAAAAGAGCTGTCCTAACTTCCATCTGCATGATGAAGTGAAGTGAGAAACAGCAGCACTGCCAAGGGTGATTGATGTAGCATCTCTGGTACCTGGGGGTGCTGTTCTGGGTGAGGTGTAGAAGGTGTAGGGATTGTTTATTCTTTCAGTTGAAGTTTTGAGAAGGAAAGGATTATTTTTATTTAATATTTTAAAAATCTACCTGTACATTAAAAAAATATTGAAGCAACTGGTGTAAAACATTATATAGATTTCAGGTATCAGCATTCTAAAGCAATCAAAGTATACTCTATCATATTCACTACTGGAAGTCTACTTTTCTTCTTCCACTCTACAATTGACATCTTTTACCCAATTTTCTGCCCCCATTCCTTTCTGATAATCACTGTTTTATTTTTATAGTCTAATATTTTGTTTGTTTGCTCATTTGTTTAGTTTCTTTATCTTCCTACTTTATTTCACATAGCATAGTACCCTTTAACTCTATCCTTTTTCTTCCAAATGGCAGGATTTCATCTTATTTTTAATAGTTTTATAGTATTTCAGTGGAAGATCTACTGATACAATTCTACTTTATGTTACTAAGATAATGATGTTGGAATATGGATAAAGAAAGCTTTATGATACCACTGAAAAATAATATAGGTTGGCAAGAGAAATGCTGACCCGAGTTAGCAGTTTTATTTTTATTTTATGAGAATGTTTTTAAATGCAGTCAAGAACAAAGACTAAATTACAAACATCCATCCTTCAGAAATAAAACTCGTACCATTTATCACATTTAATTCCTGTGCGTCTACCAAATTATATATAATTATTACATAAAAAAATTGAACTTTATTTTATCTCTTATCATTTTGTTCTCATTACCATGATGCCCACTATCACTACTACCAAAATAATTATGAAAGTTGAACAGATACAGAAAGGATTCAATTCTCGAAAAGGATGGTTTTGGAGTTTTGGAGAGAAGATGGGTAGTCTGTAAACTCCACTCCACCTCTTAGAAGTGTGACTACCTCTAACTTAAGAGAGCAGAGTTCTCTCAGACTACGTGGAGGTGACAATTTGATTTGTGTTTTCTGCACTTCTGGGGACCCAGGGTGAAAAGTGATATGCAGGGCACATACTTTGGTAACGTGGGAACAGTGGCTGATACTTTGGGGTCAGCCACCACTCTCAGTGTGTTTCTATAGAAAGACTCTCATGAACCACATGGAAAGAATTTTGTGAAGTTTGTTGCCTTTATTTTAGACCTCTAGAGGCATTAAATGTTGCAAATAGCAGCAAGTAGAATTTAGCAAAGGAGAAAATGGAGATGAAGTGCTGGATTCCTAGAGCCTGAGAAGGATGTAAGTAACTTCCAGAAAGAGTGGCTTTACCTAAGCACAGGGAATTGTAGTGGACACACTAGCAGTGATAAGAAACCTGGAAGAACTTGTTCTCCCATGGACTGACAGAAACCACAATTATCATAGTAAAGAATGGGGGTAGAAATTTAAGTTGGAAAAAGTGAAAGAAAAAAAATCACTGTTATAGCTCTACTACTTCCTGAGGAAACCTCTCGATTAACATTTAAGCACTTTCAGAATTTTTATATTACATGGCACAGAACATAATTATCAAAACGGGATGACATTTTACAGAGATAGATTACTTTGGGCATTTTTATTACTGAGAATTCTGAGAGGAGCCAAGTCTTGCTCAATATTTATTTAGGGCCTGCAAAAGAATTATAATAGCATATTACATAAGTCAGGCTTATTCAATCTAAGTTGAAAAATCTAAATTATCAGAAATATTATTGTTATATGTTATAAGGATGCCATTAAAGGATTAACATTGGTATTTTTTTTGTGGAAAAGCAACAACAACAACAAAACACAAACCCACATGGACAAGTACTAGTATGTAAATTGAACAAGTGGAAGGAAAAGGCCTGAATTCCATCATCATCCAAATTTGTGTTTGTTTGTATGGATGACCTTGAGTGCATATGAAAGAAGGTATCTGTTTAATACTAACATGTTTCTGGAAACATGGATACTATGTCTCTATAGCTTTTATAATCAGGAAATATAACCACCAACCTTTAAAATAATATATATAATTATAGCTTAAAAATTGGCTCTAAAGTACAGTCGTACATGTGATTGTAACACAGACACACCTCATTTTATGAATAACCAGAGGTTTATTTTACTTAAAAAGTATATATATTATGAGCTGACTTGGACAATCCCAAAACTCATATTTTCAAGTATTAAGTCACACCCTCTCCTCCTTCCCACTTCAGGATGTGTCTGTTATTTGGAAATAGATCCTTTAGGTTCTTTAAAGAAGTAATTAAGGTTAAGTAACATGACAGTGGGTTCCAACCCAATGACCAGTCTCCTAAGAAGAGATTAGGATACAGATGGGTACAGACGAGAGACCATGTGACGACAGAGGGTAAGATGGCCATGACAGCCCAAGGGGAGAAATCTCAGAAGGAATTAATTCTGTCTACATCTTGGTCTTCCAACATCCAGAACTGCTGAAAATAAATTTTTGTTGTTTAAGCTCCCCCACCCCACATCCCAGGTTGTGCTCTGTCAGAACAGTGCTGGTAGAGGATAAGTTACAGTGCAACCCTGCTCTACAAGGGGTTGCGTGACTGTGGGGCCTCACCCACTGGCTTACAGGTGACGTAAACTGCCGGCACACACAAAAGGTTAACAAAAGGTTTATTGACAAGGGAAGGGGAATGAGGACATGCACAACTCAGGGATAAAAGAGAGAGATAAATTCTTAAATGCATCCTACCCATTCTGCCAACCTGGACTCCCAAATGACCCACGCAGCCCAAACCTGCCAGGCCAAGAGCAAGAGCCAAGTGCCAGAGACTCCACTAACATGGCTGGTTTTATTTACAAACAGAGAAAATGGCTGCTTAACTCCGCCCTTAGGTCCTCACAACTCCCCCCTACCAGGATTTGGGGATCATGGATTTATAGTTCCCAGTGTCTTCATGGAGTGGGGGTGGCGTCCACAAAGCCTGTGTGGAATTAGCTCAGGACATCCCTTCCCCCTAACAGATACAGAAAGAACATCATGCATGAATATCTTGGGGGTGGTGGGAGAGGATGGTAAAAGGTCGAAGGCAAAACCCCCTGGAAATTCAAGAAGCAACACAGATGATGGCCCTTCACTGGGGAAGCAGCAAATAAACATTTAAAAAATTATCATCCACGATAATCACAATACACCCTTAGATATGATCCCACACGTCGACAGTATTTCTGTCCTTAAGTATTATCCTGATACTCCAGATACAACAATTACGAGGTACAGAACAGGTCCCCCCTCTAAAAGCTCGCATCACGCTCCTGCTCCCCCAGGCCCGCGGCCGTAAGGCAGCGCGGCTTTCACTACACTGTCGGCCGAGGCCTGGCCGTCGCCTGACGTGGCTTTGCGGCCGCGCCTGCCTCCCAGCCGCATTGTCCAGCGTGTGCGAGGCCCGCGCCGGCTTCCCACGGTGCCGCGCACGATTTTAGGGGTGCTCCTTGGGATGCTGGGGGTCATTTGGGGACCGCAAGGGCTCAAAAGTGCTGTTTTAGGAAGGAAGAAGTCGCGGGGTCCCCTTGGCGAGGCGGGAGCAGCCGCCCCCAGACGTGACTTCCGGGTCGCCGCGTGGACGACGTCACCGGGCGTGTCCCGGGGGGCGGGCAGGGCCCCCAAGGACTCCCAAGGCCCCCAGGACTCGCGGACGGGCCGGCCCGGGCGTGGGCTCGAGGCTGTGCCTGGCGAGCAGAGAACGCGGAGGAGAGGACGGACGTGGCGCGGGGACGCCCGGGCCCAGGCCGCGTGGGCGCGGAGGCGTCACCTTTGTGCGACGGGCTGGGGCCTCCGGGGGAGCGCACCTGGGCAGGTGCGTGTGGGCGCGTGCTCGTCGGTCACCGGCCTGGCGCCAGGGACCTGGAGGTGGTGCCCTCCGGAGAGGGAAGGCGTTGGGGACCTAGGAGCAGAAGGGGGCCTGCGATGGCCCCCCTGTGCCCGGCAGTGGCCCAGCTGGGGAAGCTGCCCGTTTGCCCAGGGGGATTTTAAGGGCCCAGCCGAGTTGGGTGAGGGAGGCCAGGGCCTGGGGTCCTGCGCCCCACGCGCCCAGGCACTCATCTGTGCACACAGTAGGGCACGGTTTGCATTTATCCAGGTTGCGTGATGGTTCGTTTCTGGTCTCCGTCGCTTGTAGCTGAAAGGAGGTTAGATAATAGATTTAGATCACATCCAGTGCCTTTATAAAGAGAAAAAAGCTAGTGTCAAAACCTGTGCATGGACAGGGAAACTGGGGAGACGGCAGGCAGCAAGGGCAGGAAAACCAGTTTTATATGATAAGACTTACATAGACATTGTTCGACATTTTCCGTAAGTACCTGTCACCTGCTCCCTTTCTATACTGTCTTGCGCACAGCATGTTTGTAACGCAGCGACTGTAACAGGACAGGGCTAGAGGAAATTAATTTTAATTTTAAAATGAGCATGAAATTTTATTGAAAACATGGAAGTTATAGGAGATAGCAAACTTAGTCTGCAAATGATTAAAAATGATGACTGAAACCAGCAACTAGCATACACCCACCCAGATCTCAAGGTCGGTGCCAATTTTAACAGAATGATCATGTTGTATCAAGAAAAAATGCTATATTTTGCTTCTAGAATTGTCCATGCATATCTGGGTGTCAGGTTTAAAGCTGTATATTCAAAGGCTATCTGGAGGAATATATAACCAGTGATAAAAGCAAATAGGACGAAACCAGTTGGTGCAACTTTGACAGTGGACTCTTGGAATTTTATTGATTTTATAAATATGTGTCCTCATTTGATAATTTTGGCAACAGTTTGTATTGCCATGTAAATGCAAAGGGAGCAGCCTGGGGAGAAATCATTGTCCTATAAAAAGTGGTGAAGAGGTCTGCAAAGAAAGTGAAAGTGAAAACACCTTTACATTCTAGCTTACCCGTGTTGTACACATGACTGCACATCTAATTTCAGCTCTTGTACTTTCTTCATTATTTTATGAATGGGGATTTACTAAATTGGAGGCATTCTGATATATGTACACAGACATCACACAAGGCTGACACATCGGCCTGTCTTACATGGCTCGTTTCCTATTGCCTGTTTCTTCACAGATGTGAGTTATAACTTTTACTTTACTTGCTATTACTTTTAGCTATTAGATAAACTATGTCACTTTTCTTCTGAAACCTGCCAGTTACAGCTCTACAGATGAAAGAATTATTTTCTTTCCCCCGGCTTTGGAAATTAGGTCATCTTGACATTTAGCAGTCCGTTGAAATGATACTGAGAATACTTCAAGGGACATGTGAGGTTATTTCTTAATGTCCTGAGTAACTTGTAGTGCATGATGAATCCCACTCAAGAAAGAGCAAGGAACCCATGGTGCTGAATGGATGAGTCTGAGAGAGACATCTGCTGGCTACACTTGAATAGCTGCGTGGGCAGTTTTTAATTGGAGTTGGTAGTTCTACTTGATAATGTACAATCAGAAGAAAAGGAAATAAAAGAGGTAGCAAAGACACTTCAGAACAGTCCCAGAATTTAGTTCATTCTCACAATGTTGATGATTGGACTGTAGCTGCAAGTCCATGAAAAGACAGCTAGATGCACTATAGAATAATGTTTTAGTTGGGCACATAGACAATGTCTGTTCTTTGAAGTAATAAGTGGGTAGTAAAGTCACAGATAATCATATAGAAATGGTAAATAAATGATTATAAAAGTACTATTTATAGGGACAAAGTTATTACAAGCACAATTCTAATAATTATTTTTATGTACTTTTTTTTTTTTTTTGCTGTAGCTACCATTTCTAGGAAGTGGATATCTAAAAATTACATCTCTGTGCCACGCAGTGCTTACATTTATTGCTATGAAAAATCCAGATAGGAAGCAAATTTCATCTCAGAGGATAAAATAAAGAGTAAAAGTTATTATATAAAAAAGCAATGTCTGATACACAGGATTGAAAGCCTGAAAAAGATTTTAGCCACTCGAAAAGTCTTTCTCTTCTTATATGAGTTCTATAAAAATAGCCAGTGATTATATTTTTAGAAGTGGTTTATTCCTTTGACCAGCTGCGTAAAAGATAAAAGACTGACTCAATCTCTTCCAACAAATTTCTTTTGGTTCAAATTTGTGGCTTATCTGGCCATTCCATCTAAGTCTTTCTCCTCTGGCTCTGCTGCTTCATTGCTGCTGGTGCTCCCTCTCCCCCACAGATGAGCAGCGCCATCGGTGACCTTTATTTTGTTTTAAAGAATAGTATCATTTGTTGTGAGAGTAAAAAGGAAGAAAGGCCTCCTCCTTTTTCTTGAATTAAAAGCATTTTTGTTATAACCTTATAGTAAGTATTTTATAATATTTCTTGCATTAGTACGTTAAGTGATATTTATGAGGTAGGAAACATTAGTTCTTTGCACACTAAAGCTGTGAATCTCTTTTCTTCTCTCACGTGTTTGGCCACAAGAATAATCCTTGGCATTAATACTGATGATGACTTCCAAAGTAATTTCACATTTAATAATATTTTATCCTGATACTTTTCCTGGCTTCATCTAATTTGCCTTCCTTCTTCGTTCTTTCATTCATATGATTAAGATGCAAAAAAAAAATCATATTGTCATATTTCCTATGTTGCCTTAAAGAACTTTTGGAAAAAAATAGTTTAACTAGAAATAGAAGCTGATCATTTCCATTGCTGCATTAGAAAACTGAGACTTGGAGGATAAATGATTTCCCAGGGGCATGTGTGTTTATTTTTTGTTATTTTTGTTTCATGCATTGTCCAATATAGGCTTCTACCTCTTCTTTTGAAAGATGTTTTCCATTCATTAAGTAGAATAAATAAATTAAGTATCCTGACTAAATTAAGTATCCTGAATAAATATGCTAGGTCAAATTTAAAATCAGTGTTAATTTCTAATAACTCTCCTATGTAGCTCCAAATCAGTTCTTCTGTTTGTTTGCTTATTAAATATAATCACTACCTACCAATATACCTTGTATAATAATTTCAAATTTATTGTGATTTTGTAAACAGTCCTTACAGATATCACCAGATAGGTTCCATATTTATATTTACTTACATAAAAATGCCTGCATGTAGTTTGGTAATCACTAGGTAGGCAAGTCTGTGTGCCTACACTGTCAAAGCTGAGGTTTACCAAGGTTGAATAACTAGCTCAAGGTCAAATATCTAATAAAGATATGCCCTTGTGGTGGAAACGTGGCAACATCTGGTCAATCTTACAATATAAGAATTCTAACTACCACACTATTTCTAAACTATACATTTCTTCTAGGCTGTATCTGCAAAAAATTAATGCCAGACACTTCCATGGCTTACAAAAGCACCTAAAATTAACAGCAAGTCTTTGATGAGTCCTATATGGTTCAGGGAGATGCGTCACTATTTACTGCCCCAGCGTCGCTCTCTGGGACTCAGAAGCGCCAGCCATGTGGGTCCTTGTGGTGTTAGCTCCAGAACCCCACCTGTGCTCTTCTTCCTCATGTCTTCTTGTTTGTGATCTATCTACTTGGGAAGAGCTTCACAGTCTGCACCCTTATCTCCCCGTAGCTACCCCACGCCATCAAATTGCCACGATTGTAATATGCAATAATATTTTAATTGACCTTTTTATTTTGAGATAATTGTAGATTCCCTTGCAGTTCTAAGAAATACTACAGAGACAGCCTGTCCATCCATCCCTAGTCCCCTGCAATAGTAACTATTTGCATAATTGCAGTACATTATCACAACCACGAAATTAACATTGATAAAAGCCACCCCCGTTATCCAGTTTTCACCAGTTTTATTTGCACTCATTATGTGAGCATACTTCTATACAGTTTAATCTCATGTAGGGTGCCCTGACGGCTATTACAGCTGACTTACAGGCCGTTGCCACCTCCAGGCTCCCCTGCTATGTTCCCTGTCATAGCCACTGTCGCCCCTCTTCTGCCTCCTTCCTAATTTCTGGCGTCTATTACTTGCTCTCCATTTTATGATATCGGCATTTCCAGAATATTACTTAAATGGAATGTAAGACTTGTGAAATTCTCTTTGCTTTGTTTCTTACACACTTTAAATGTTTGAGGATACCCTTAGATGTACGGAAAAATCTTGAAGGTGGCTCAGAGTCCTGATATGCTCAGCACTCAGTCAGCCTGTCACTAACATCGTGCATGAAGGTGGTGCCCAGTGCGGCTGTTACAGTTAGTGAAGTGTGTCTATACATGACCGTTGGAATAGATGCCTTATTCATCTTTCCTTGCCCAAAGGTCATCTTTTCTGTTCCAGGGCCCTTAGGTTCCTCTTGGCTGTGACAGTTTCTCAGAATTTTTTGTTTTTGGCAACTTAGAAAGTTTTGAGGAGTACTGGTTAGGTATTAGGAAGAATGTCCTTCATTCGGGTCTGTCTGGTGTTTTTCCTCATGGTCAGAATGGTGTCAAGGGTTTGGTGTGGGAAACCACAATGGTCTTTGTTTTCCTTTTCTTCATCAATTTTACATCATTCTCGTTTTCATCACAGCTTATCGGGGCATATGATTATCAGTGTGACTCTCACCGTTCGTGTTAACCTTGATCCCCTGAGGTGACACTTGTCAGGCGTCTCCACTGCACAGTGTTTTTCCCCCTTTCCAAGTGGCACTAGTTGGAAGGAAGACACTTTACACAGTTCATGCTTATGGGGTGTGTTTGTGTGTGTGTGTGTGTGTGTGTGTGTGTGGTTTGCTTCCTTAACATTGTCCTTGAGACTTCCTCATTTACTGGTAATCCAAGATTTCCAGCCACACCTTACATGTTTATTCTCTCAGCCTTAAAATCAGCCATTTCTCCAAGGAGTCCTGGTTGGACTCTTGTTGGAGAAAATGGTATTAGAAACTAAAGTCTCAGGGCTAGTCTTGCTTAGTCTGCACGTTTCATGGTTTGTTCCATGTTATTGTGAGTCACATTTCCTAGTATAAATGCTTGGTAGTTTGTTTAATCATTCAGCTGTTGAAGGGCACGTGAACTGTGTTTCGGCTGTTGACAGAGCTGCCAGGAACATTCATGTTGTCTGGATTAAGTGCCCAAGCTGGGTCAGATTTTTAGCCCATGTTTAGTGTTGTAAGAAGCTGGTAAAATGTTTCCGAAAGTGACACAATTTCGCTTTCTATCCTCATCACCAAGTGTGTGAGTGATCTACTGTCTCTGCATCCTTGCCAGCATTTGTTATTTTTTAAGCCATTGAGACAGATGCATAGTAATATTTAGTTTGGTTTTACAATAACATTTTGAACGCTGACAGATAAGGCCAATGGATGGGAGGCTGGAGGAAGAGAACTCATGCAGAGGAGCAAGCGCAAAGTGCAGGGATGATGTGCCATTGATCGTAACTGACACCCTGAATTCAGAAGCGTTAACATGAGGAGAGAGAAATGCTCGATAGCATCAAGAATGAGGACTTAGCAGCTCCTTCTCCTTTCTTTCGTAGTTCAAAGGCAATTTTCTCCCAGTTTTGACCCATCCTGAGACTTCAGGCCACAGCTACTGCTATCTGGGTTATTTTCTCCATAGCATTAGTAACACTTTTTAAACGTATCAGATGCATTTCACGGGCAGGTGTCCCTGCTCCCCACTGGACTCCAGACTCTACAAAAGCAGATTCCGTTTGCTTTGTTTACCCCCTTTCTTCACACACGTCCAGGTATGGTGTGGGGTGCTCAATATATATCGTTAAGTTAATGCACAGACATATTCTTCATTAATTGACACATATTCCAACCAGGTAATTTAATCTTAAAGCTCTAGTTATTTAGAAAATAGAGAATTGATTTAGATAACTCTATGTCTGCTTACAATACATAGAGTGGGTAAATCACAAAGACAAAAGGACATGACTTTTATTTTCAAGCTCAAAAAGAAATACCATTTAAAGCCATCAATATATTTCCCCATATATTTCCCCAAACAAGGCTTTTCTTTGCAAAAATTACCCATTTCTCCATCTTTTATGTGGTCCAATCTGCCAGAACATGTTTAAATCATTGACTTCCCAGGAAGTTCCAGTCTCTATCTTGTGAAGGGAGGCTGGGGTCCTGCTGTCTTCATGTCCCTCTCAGAGCTAAGGCAGTGCTGTAAGAGACACAAGAGAGAGAACACTCTAGTAGCAGACGAATATTTGATATGCTAGGATATACCAATAAGGAAAAACTTGGCAAAATAGTGATTTTGAATTTTACTAGTTATTGATCTACAGTTATAACATATTTCAGAATCACTTTTAAATACTAAGGTCAATACAAATTAATTTCAGTGTATTTATTGAAAACAGTTTCATGACACAAATTTATTGCCAAATTTATGACAAGTGGAATAAAAATTCAATTATGTGCCATGGTGCAGGATAGCCAATGCATTAAAATCTGATGTGCTTGACATGTCCCTAGTGAAAGAAAATGTAATAAATCATTTTCAGTATAAAATATTACTCAATAAATGGCATCTATGTATTTTTTTGATAGGAAAGTAAGCTAAAATCACAGTAAAAGGGTATGGTTGGTGATGAGACCATTTTCAAATTAAATATAGAATATTTTTCAAGCAAATTATAATATGTTCAAACAATTAACCGTCATTGCTTATTCTTAAATAATGATTGATAGGTTATGATTTCATCTTTCTATATAGAAATTACTTGAGAATAAATAGAAACTAGTTTATGTGAGCAATATAATAGCATCTTCAATGCTTTTTTCTTTCTTTGCCATTTTTCCTTTTCTCACAGTCGATTTTCTCCTTGCTTTTAGCTGTGCAAGCAGAAAGCCACACATCTACAACCCACACCTCAGCCTATTGCTATTTGGCTACATTGAGTTTAGTTGGGTACCAGCAGAAGTAACATACAAACACATCCAGGTTATAGCCTTAAGGAAAATGGCCCTAGAGTTTTTATTGCTAATGAGTGGGAAAATAATGGCTTATATCGCATAAAGAAAATGTGAGAGTTAAGTAATTCATGTAAAACAGAATAAAATAAGGTATTATTAGTTATATTGTTTTTATTGGCAGTTACTGATGTTTTTGTCCTTACAAAGTATTGCTAAATAAAAATGTAAATTGATAACTTCAAGGAAAATGTAAATGGAATGAGACCAGGATTTCCTAAGCATTACAAAATATGTTTCCAAATTTTACCTCAAATCTAACAGTAGCCCAAACAAAATAATAAAATGTGGCTAGTCACATAATTTTCTATGTACATAAAAAGCAGTATGTGCTAAATACACCTACATATTTTAAATACCTAAATTTAAATTAATTTCCTTCATATATTTTTAATAACTGCATAGGAGCTAATCCTACATTTACTTCTGTCCATCTTTCAAAATAATCTGAGGTCAAATTCCCAAGCCTAACCGGTGGGATGAGTATGTCCAGTGTTGACAAACAGCAGAGTAAGGATAGAGACCTGGTTTTGTGTCTAGCTTTGGCCCCACCAGTGGATCCCCAGGCATATTACCTACAACAAATGTATATGAAGCCTTAAACTTCCCTAAATACTGAATATTCAAATTCAGTGTCCAGGAAAATTTTTAAAATGTATGGAAATTATTTGCATTTTTTTAAAATGCCAATCAAGAAGCTGAGGTTTCCAGAAGAGTCAAAGGAACAGATTGCTTTTCATATAGCAACACAAATGGCTGGAAGAATGGTCTGCAGACATGAGGGGTCCTTCCGGGAAGCAGGGGACTAGGATGAGGCTAAGAATGCTGCGCTGTGCCTGATACGTGTTGTGGTCATAGCTTGTCACCTATTTCTCCATTTTGATAATGGCATCATTTGTCTTCAGCAGTTGACATCTTCCTATCTACCTTTCTATAGACCTCAGAGTTTGGTGGCAGGAAAAGAATTAACACAAAGATCCAGAACCTGACCATTAGGTTGACTGGAGGAATTAAGAACAACAAAAATAGAACTTATGGGGAAGAAAATGGCACTAAAAGGCTAGGATTGCACCCAGGCTCTAGAAATACATATAGCAAATACCCTATAAATATTTGCCAGGAATGAAGGATATTTTTCAGTAGAATATGGGCATTTGTCGACAGGGGTTGAGAAAGTTTAGTGTACTGATTACAAAGAAATTGTAACCCAAAATGGTAAATGTGCATTTCTCCTTTGGATTCTAGACCCCTTTGACTTAAGCCGAAGAAGTGGAGATACCTGAGTGTTTGCAACAGGAGCGGAAACCAAGAAGCATTGGACCAGGCATGCGGGAGGTAAGCCAGATAAGAGTCCAGATGTGGATCCTTAGGAACACCCCTTGTCAATGCGCCAGTGTTCATGTTATAAATATTGGGGGGTCCAGCAACCCCTGAATCACATGTTTTCTAAAACAGAAGTTGGTCATAAGCAAACATTTACCAGAGCTGACAATTTCTTTGACTTTATCCAACTGAAAGTTCTCTAGCTCTTGTCTTATTGCTCTGGCTAGGACTTCCAGTATTATATTGAAAAGCAGTGGTGAGAGTGGACATCCTTGTCTTGTTCCAGATCTTAATGGAATTGCTTTCAGCTTTTCACCATTGAGAATGATACTGGCTGTTGGCTTGTCATAGATGGCCTTTATGATGTTGAGGTATGTTCCTTGTATCCCAAGAATTTCAAGGGCTTTTATCACGAATGGGTGTTGCACTTTGTCGAAAGCTCTCTATACAGGGAAAGAGGAAGAGGGAGGCAGATAGCAGGGTAAGGCAATGTCAGGTGTGGTGCGGATAGCGACTGGCTGTGCTTACTAAGTGTGCCTAAAGAGCATCTCTCTTATACTTTTTTTTTTTTTCTGAATGAGGCACTAATGTGCAGCTTGGTGTTAGGAAACTTATTAATATGTATTTGTGTACATTATAATCATACACAGACATGGATTTTTATTTTATACTGTTTCAGAAATATTCCATCCTTGTACCATATTCCTTCTGATTGTAGAGTCAGAAGTATTTAGGTGATAGAATTTTCAGTGCTAAAATATATAGAAAGCAACTTTACTCGAAAAACTTCTCTTTGAATGAAATGAGTGAATATGCGACACATCTAGTTCGTAGAAGACTGTATGTTCCACTAACATGTCAAAATGGTTTCCTGTTTACCACAGTGATGCATGATTCCAGCACATACTAAATTAGTCTAAAATTTGGTGATCAAAGAGTTAACTAGCTGTTTTCCTTCAAGCATAGCTGTGTTTAGGGGAAGATATTTTGTGCACTGAAGCCAAAAGAGATAAGTGGGGAGGCTGGAATTATGCCCAGCTTCTCCAAGTCTAAGGTCCTTGGGAAAATAACTTTTTTTCTTTTCTCATCCCCTTGAGGTGTTTTCCTAACCATGGTATTTACAGAGCTTTCTTAGGAAGGGGATTAACTGGCATGGGATTGGATGTCTGGCTGTCTGTCCCTTTCCACTGCCTCCCCCACAACTACTTTCATTTATTTATTTAATAAAAAGTACATCAAGGGGCAGAGTTCTAATGAAAAAAAAAAGTCTGACTAAGAGGAAAATGAATTATATTGAAAAGAAAAATTATTCAAGTTAGTTTCGACACACGGGGCTCTTGGGAGTGCTAATATCACCACTGTTGACCAGGCACAGCAGGAGAAGCAGGCTGAAAACTTGAGGGGAAGGACTGGGCAGTCTCCCCAGAAAAGGAGCTTGGACTCCACCATTCTGTCCTAACAAGTAAAGATCTAAACACTGGAAAATCAGCAACTCTTCCCAGACCTATCAGAGCCGGAAGGTGCTGGGGCAAACCAATATCCTGAGAGTGGAGAGGACAGGAACATACAGGGCAGACCAGAGCCTCACCAGTGAAACCCCTGCAGAGACCGGTGCAGAGGAAGGGAACCCTGATGTGTCCTTGACAAATTGCTGAGGATCAGTTAGTGTGAGCAAGTGTGAGAGTTAACAACTCAGTAGGACCTTTCCCCTTACACACACACACATTTGTGCGTTTGTGCATGCACACATACACACTATTGTGAGCTTTACTTCTAGGATCTCCACCAGGTTCCCACAGTAAATATCAGAGGGAAATCCCCTCAGGCTTCTGGCAGAGGGAGGGGAGAGAGATCCAGCTCTAAATGGTCCAATGTGCTTTGTTTGTGTTAACAAAGCTCTGAGCTCCCGGGTTAGCTAGTTAATCAAAGTAACTCACGTAGGGGTATGGAAATGCCCAGCTCCAATCAATACAACCCATGCCTCTAACTAAGCTGAGGAAAAAAGATATAAGTTACTAATATGATATTTTTTTAAGATTTATGTATTTATCATGCAAGAGCTGGGGTGCAGTCCAGAGGTGCGTGTGGTGAGAGGATTCTCCAGAGACAGAGCGGGGAACAGAACAGGCGGATCTACTGAAACACACGGCTGAGGGAAGCAGCGGAGAGACAGGAGACAGGTCTGCTACTCCATGTGGGTCAGCTCCCTGGCTGGGGATCAAACTCTTGGTGTAGTGGCTGTGAAGAGCTTCATAGTGCTGACACTTACCCCCTTGTGCCACCAGGGAGGCCCCTAATATGAAAACTTTTTTTTATAGATTTATTCATGCATACAAGAACCAGGGTATAGGCCAGTTGCATGGGAGGGTGAGCGATTCACCAGAGGTAGAGTGGGGAGCAGAACAGGCAAACTGACGAAATACACTACTGAGGGGAGCAGCGGGTGAGACAGGAGAGGCCTGCTGCGCCATGTGGGATTCTTGCTTGCCGGCCGGGATCAAACTACCCTGCAGAGGCTGCAGATAGCTTCACAGTGCTGCACTCAACTGCCTGCGCCACCAGGGGAGGCCCTATGAAAAATTTTTCAAAAAGGATGTCACTACAGACCCCATGCACTTTAAAGGATAATGAAGACTTACTGTTGTGGCCTTCTGGTGGAGTTACAGCAGCTGGATTATAGCTCTGTATCTCAGCAGACATTCATCAGGGCTTCAGAACTGTAGGGTACAACTCCAGGAGCTTTGCAGGGAGTTTGCTTGTATAGGCAGAAGGGGTGGGGCCAGGCCTGTTCTATGCAAATAGGTTTCTGTCTGTTGGGAAGTTTGTCAGCTGATGACTGGACCAATTTCAATACTGGGTGTGGCTTGTCAGGTTACTTCCACTTTCATCTAGGCTGTGGTGGATTCTGTACCTGCCCCAACAGGTACAGACTGGGTCACCTGGACCTGCCTGATGCCCCACTCTTACCAGCCTCCCAGATCCATTTGGTTGTCACCCACACTGGGGTGACTGTTTGTGTTTTCCTTATTTTATTGATAAGTATGAACAAGGCTGTACCCACAGATGAAATAACCTTATGAAATAGACCAAATCCTTGAAAGATATAATTTGCCAAAGCTCATATAAGAAGAATAGACAATTTGAAGAGATGTGTATCTATTAAAGAAACTGAATCAATAGTTAATAATATTACAAAACAGAAAACACTAAGCCCAGAGGTGTTCACTGTAAATTATATCAAACATTTAAGGAAGAAATTACATCTCCTTCCCCCACACACCTGGATCTTACTAGCTCCATAATTGTGTCTCTTGATGAATGCCATGGAGTTGGAGTCCTACACTATCGCCTTTCCTGGCATGGCTTCCTTCACTCAGTGAATGCATTTAAGGTTCCTGATAATCTTCTTGTGGATTGATATTCATTACCTTTTTTTTAAGACTTTTTTTTTTTTTAGCACTTTTATTTTCATTGCAGTAGCTACCCAAAATGTAGATTTAGAAAAATCTCTGTTTTTGTCATTGCTTTGCACCCTATTACAGGGTGCTATGACGTCCTTCTATTCACCTTACTGGCAAGGAAGGAATTCTTTCTCTGAATGGTTTGAAAGTGTCAGTGCAGATGATGTAGTAGTCAAAGGGAAGCTTAGTAGTCAGATGGATACAGCCCCCAAGGAGGGCATGTGTGCCACACAGAGGCTGTTCTGGGCAACACAGTGAGTTAGTAGGTCAAGGGAGCAGGATTTGTAATAAAATGAAGGTGGGGTTCCCCTGGAGAATGGGATGAGCTTGTTTGAACTATGACTTGCTTGTGGGCAGGAGAACCTGCTAGGGGAGAAGGCACCGTAGCTTGCTGTTGGTCCAGCTGACTTGGAACTAGCACATGGGGTGAGAGCAGGGGATCCTGAAGGGGCCTGTCAAGGCTGCAGTGCGTGGGATTTGGGGACGTCTGAAATACACTTTCAATGAATTTTTATTACCCCCCCAGAAGTTTCAGAAATGTTTTGTCTTTTTATGCAGGATGGTCAATATTGCATAAAGATCATATATTGTAACTCCAGTACCTAAAAGCATGGACTACAGATTTAACCAAACAAACAAAAATTAAAAAAGGATTTTATTGATGTGTAAAGATTTCAGAGATATCATGATAGTATGGAGTATTCTATTTTGATGATTTTGCATCTAAAGTAGAGGGAGGCCCCATGGAGTGTGCTCAAGTGGAAGGAACACCAGACAAGTTTAGGGAACCTGGTTCTAATCCTGATTCTGAAGGAGATAATTTGATCGTTCCACTTGATCAGTTTTTCAGTGGCTTAGGATGGTAAAACAAGATCATTTATTTTTCCTCCCATCTATAGTAATCTAATCCATCTAAGTTTATGCATGCTTCAAAAACAATTGACCAGCTAGGATACATATAGTTTCAGTTCTGTAAATAAAGAACCACAGGTGGTGCACAGATGTCTGTCAGGAGGTGTAGTGGCTTCTGTTGGTTTAGAGTAGAGAAAGAGAGAAGCTCCGGGATTTACCTCCACTGAAACCTTCTGCTGAAATTCACCCTGGCAACAGTGCACCGGCTTATCCATATTACAGAATTATTCAAAGGATAATAATAATTTACATAAAGTATTTATGAATGCTTCAATTTTTAAAAAAGCCTGTAAGTTTATAATATACTTGTCCATAAAAGTTGTGCAGATAAAATGTACCAGCTGCTCTGTGAATGAGCAATTTGGCCATTCTGAAGATACATTTTTGAAGGGAAGCCATCTTCCTTTCTTTACAGAATTTGTATTTATTTATTTTTTCAGATTTGTATTTATTATTTCAGAATTGGTTGACTATAAGATTGAGAGAAAATGGACTTACCACAATTAAAAGTGAAAGGAAAGTAGTAGCTCTATTTTAGGAGTTGAAATCACACATAGAATCTTCTTGCTTTGGCAGGAAGGACAAATAAAAATAATAATAATAAAAGCAACAACAAATCAAGCGCAGGCAGGAGAGGAG